GTCCTGCGGGCGGCAGTGGCGGGGACTTCCACAGACTGGTCTTCTAACGGGGACCCGGCCCGGGGCTGCTCCCGCCTGCGGGGGGCACCACAGCCCACAGGGGAGGCCTTGACCCTTTCCTTCTGGGAACCGGGTCGGGACCGAGGCCGAGGCGCCCTTCCCGGTGGGGGCTGAGGGAGGCTGTGGAGGCAGGTTCAACCCCGGAGACGGGGGCCCTTCCAGGGGCAGGAAAGGTGGAGAGGAAGCTTCTGGGACACCCCGGTCCTCAGCCGGAAGGGTGTGCAGGGACTCAGATACAGAGGTGAGAGCCGAGCCCCTGACACGGTCTCAGGCCCCGACACTCGGGTCAGCCCCACTCAGATTTCTCACCCAAGTGTTCTGGGCGACTTGAAGCAGCTTAGATGGACACTCTCTGGGCCTTGTCCCCCACCCCCCACCCCCCCGTCCCCCCCCCCCCCAGCAGGCTACATGAGGGGGCTGATTCACAGCTCTAGTGCTTTGCCATCAAGTAGCATTTCCCTCCTCGCTCCTTTCAGACAATCCTATTGCTGTATAGTATAAGGCAGCAGAGCAGGGTCTGGGGCCTGTGCGTCCTACCCACGGCCCCCTTCTGGGTTCTCTGAGGGGTTTCGGAGGCACGGTATGTGGTTGCCTGCACCCTTGGTACTTCGAGGGGTGTGTAGGTGGGAGGCAGCCTGGCACGGGGTCAGAGACTGTGCAGAGAGGGGAGGACAGCCCCCCTCCCCCCCACAGCGGGAGACCCTTAATCCCCAAACCCCATCTCCCCTAGCCTGCCTCAGTGCCTGAGATGCCACCATTTGCATCCCCTTTCTGGTTGAGAGAGAGAATCCTTATTTTACTGCAACTCTGTGTTTCTCGTGAAGCCATCGTCGGACCTGAGGAAAGCTGGCTGGCTCGGCGGCTCCTCTGTGGCATTCAAGCCGTGGCCTGGGGGCTGGCGGGGGCGGGGGGGGGAGGTTTGGTGAGGAGCAGCTATTGACCTCATTGTGCCCTGACGGCCGCTGTACCCTTCTATGTGGAGAGGAGAGACGCAAACAGGAATAAAAATAGGTTCTCTGAAGCCTTTAAAGGTGTCATTCTTTCTGCCTCCGTGGCTGTGATGGCGGCCGTGCCCTTTGTTTCTTGCTGTGCCTGGGCTGTGAGGAGGGTACAGCCTGTGACCTGTTGGCTTGTGCGATGCCCCACGGGAGGTGACGGTGTGCCACGCTGAAGCGCTTGCAAGTGAAAGGTGAGGGCTGGGAGGACCCCGAGGGCAGAGCTGGGGCCAGCAGCGGGGCCGTTCCCCAGTGGCCGGCGCCGACAGAGGGGAGGACAGGCTCGTTACCCGGCGAGGCAGGTACCCAGACTCCGGGCTGCCCGAGGACATCCTGTCGGGGGGACTCGCCTGTCGGGTGAAGCCAGAGCCCCCATATCTGGGGATTTTTCAGACGCCAAGGACCCCGAACTGACCAGGACTCGCTACCACTGCTCCCTCATTCTCCCCCCACCCCTTCCCTGGGAGAACCTGGTGCCGGCGTGCAGCCCCTCCTCGGACGGACTCGGGCACCTGCCAGGAGGGAAGCGGGGGGGAGGCAGCCCCCCCTCTCCCCAGGTGCCAGCCCATTCTTGGGAGCTGGAGACGTCACACGGGAGCCCTTTCCACCCCAACCCTGCCCATCTGGGGGAACAAAGTAGGTGGGAAGCCAGGGACAGAGGCTGCGGTGTGGCCAGGGGCTGCGAGGGCCGCCTGCCAGTGTTGTAGGTGGAGGAGTTGTTGAGTTTTGGCCCAAGTGTCCCAGACCCTTGGGACATCAGACCTTAGGGATCAGCGACACTGGGCTGGTAGTCTCAAGAGTTCATCTCTACACTCTGTGCACCTTCTAAGGCGAAAGGGTGGAATCAGGAACACACATTCCGAGGTAAGGAGGATTCATTCCTGTTCCCGGTCAAGACAAGGGCCCCATTACTTCCTATTAGAATGAAAGGGAGCAGACTGGCACCGAGTGTTCCGGGGGCCCTGACAGAGATGTGTTTGGGTCTCCATGTGGGTGGCCCCCAGGCAGGGATTCTGTGCAGCAGGTGGGTTCCCTCCCCGGCGCCTTCAGATGAGGCAGGCTCCAGCAGCCTTCTCTGGTTGCTTCTAATGGACTTTATTGTTGTCCTGCTCCAACACCACAGTAAAAAGGGCCCTGCAAGCTTCAGGCCTGTGCCGTGTGTCACCACAGCAAAAACAGGACCCACCGGAACACGTTCCCACCCCACCCCAGACCTACTCACAGGATAAATACATGTTACACTTTTTTTTTTTAAAAGAAAACAGAATAAATTAATAACTTAAGTGATTAGGCACCAACAGTGATTTGAAAAATTAAATGTCAATTTTAAATGGTATAACAGGGCAAGAACCTAAGACTGGGCTCCTAGCCCCTTCTCTCTTCCCGACAGACAATTCTGTGCGAAATGATTCTAAGTTTCAAGACACGTGTAACCAACACACAAAAATACACACGACCAACTATCACAGGACAGCCCGCACCTCGAGGGGGCCCCTCCGCAGGCAGCCCAGGGAGCTTGGAAAAGTCCGAGAATGTTGGCTCCTGGGGGAGGGAGCTGCAGCGCTCCTGGGCCCAGCCTCGCTTCCCTCACGGGTTGTGGACGAGTGTGAACTGCATCCAGAGCTCTCGTCAGAAGGGGGTGGGGAGGGTGGGTCAGCCAGGGCTTGGGGCACGCCCTTGCTCCACTCACTCCAGAAGGGGAAGGGTTGTGCTTCTCTCCTAGGAATGGGGCGTATTTGAAGGGTTTCAAATGTAGAAGTCTCCGAAGTCCATCCCGGGGAAGGGACCCGGCTACCTGACTAATGCTCTGGGTGCTGCCCATCCCTGGTGAGCCAGGCCCTCCATAGAGAGCTCAGCTTCAGCATGGAAGGGCCTCAGCCACCATCTAATCGAACCGCCCTTTCACAGGTGGTGGCTCCCTGGGACCTTGCTTGGCCCATCTCCCTGGAACCCTCCCTCCCTCGCTGCTGCTTGGTCCTGCTGGCCCAGGCACCGTGAGTCTTGGGTCTGCCCTTGCCAGGCCACTGAACTGCCAGGTGTGTACTAGACACCGGTCATTTGAAGCCCGTGAGCCCGAGTCTCTACCTTCAACAGGCCCGTGTCCTCTTAACACCTCCTTCTGTCTCCACCGCCACCCTGAGGGCTTGGGAGCTGCAGGAACCAAGAGCTGGAAGGAGGCCTCCTTGGACATTAGAGTTGAACACTCCGTTTCGTTCACCTCGTGCTGACACAGCACACACACGGGCTGGGGGCACAGGGCAGCACCCCTCAAAGCTCAGCCCTACGAGACCCTGCAGAGAGCCTTAAAGGGACCCAGTGTCAGCCACTGCCATCAGCCCCAGTGCTCTAAGGTGACTGGACCCCAGCCCCTCCCTCCTTCCCTAGAAAACTGCTCCGTCTTCCTGCCCCTCAAGCCCACCTCAGCACCACCCCCCTTTTCCCAGATACCACCTTCCTCTGATCTGCACCAACCTCCTGAAGCAGCAGTCTTGCTTCCAGTCTCTCTCATGGCCCTCACCTATGTCCCGTGCCCTTGTGTCTCCCCCCACCCCTGCCTCCAGTGCACGGACAAACTGGTTAATTCCCGCGGTCCCAGAATCAATGCTCGCCGAGTTGAACTGCTAGGAGAGGGGCTACTGTGGACAAAATCCTCCTGACCGGAGTGGGGCTTCTGAGACTGTGGCCAGGCATGTGCTCGCGGGAGCTCAAAGGTGAGCTGTAGCCACCTCCGTCAGCCATGGTGGCAAGTATTTTTTTTCCAAGGGAAGGTGGTCTGTTACCCCAGGGGGGGATGAGGCCTCTGCCAACCCTGGACGGTTTGGGCAAGAACCATCAACACAAAAGATTCGGATCTCTCCTCCCCAGCTTAGGACAAAGTGCCTGGTGGGGGCGGGCACAGCTCGTGGGATGGCCTTCCAAAGCCACGGGAGCAGAGGCCTGGCCTCTCCTGCCCCAGGGATCGGGTCTGAGGCTAATGTGACTCGTGACTCGGGGTTTCCAGGGAGTGGCCGCTGGAAGATGAGCTGGGAAAACAGCAGGGGCTCCCGCGACCACACTCCTAGCGGCCTGGGCCCGGGCCGGAAGCCCCAGCCCGCCCCCGCACTGCTTTCCCCACGTCCCTCACACGGCTCCTTCTCTTCCGCTCAGGCCTGCAGCCCCAGGCGCTGCTCCGGCTTGACCCCGGCCCCCACCTGCCCCTGGCCGCACTGTCTGCCTCCAAGGTCTGTACCCGGCCTGTCAGCCCCTCGGTTATCTGCCAGCCCCCCACCGCCTGTCTTACAGAGACACACTTGCTGCACCCTCCCCACCACGGCACCTCCCGTCCGCCCCACGCTCCCTCCGCACCCTGCACTGCCTTCCCTCAGCACCAGCCTCCACCCGCACCCTGCAGCACCCTGCACCGTCCCCTCTGGAGGGGTGCGCCCCCGGAGGAGGGCCTGTATGCTCCACGGTTCTGGGGGCCCTGACCCCACAGGATCCTGGCCACCCCTCCCCCCCCCGTTTGTGGTTGCCCATCCTCTGTTTTCCCTCCCTCGTGTCGTCCTTCCTCCTCCTGCCTCTCCCAACCCAGCACAGCCACACCGTGGCGGGGCCACTGCCCAGATCACCTGCCTTCTGCCATCGGGGACCTCCTTCCTGTGTCCCTCAAGACCACCGCTACCCTTCCTTCTCAACTCCATCCTCTGGGGCGCCATGCCTCTCCTCTACCAACAAAGACAAGGACGAAGAGGTCCCTGGCCACTCTGGTCTGCTGGTCCTGGGCTCCCTGGATCAGCGAGACGACATGGCATCTTCCGGGACTGAAGGAGACGTAGCCCAGGAGCTGGAGGGAAGAGGGCTTGAGGGCTCCAACCGGAAGTGAGGTGTGGAATCTGGCTCAGAGCCCCCGCCCCTCCCAAAGCCTAGTAGGTACTCGGGTCTAAAGGGCAGGAAGAGGCTGAAGGATGCTTTTTGGCAATAGCTCTAACGAAGGTGGGTAGAGGCATGGCCGTTACTGATACAAATCAAAGGTGGGCCCCGAGTGGGCAGAGGAAGGGCCTCCATCAGGCCCTTACCTCTCAGGAGAAGGGTTCAGGGTCCCTGACATCAAGTGCTTTGAAGGCCAGAGTGGCAGGAGGGGGCACTGGGAGAGGAGACAATGTGTGTGGGGGGGACCGAGGGGGAGGAGCCAGCTCTGGAGATGCCGCCTCTGGGCACCTCCCCAGGCGTGGTGGCCCCTGCGTCACAGCTTAGCGCCTTTGGAAGGCTCCGAGGACTGCCGCACATCTGTCCACTCCTGCATGGTGTTCTGCAGGGCCTGGGTTTTCTCCTTGTCCACTTGAACGTAGTCCACCTTCTCATCGGAAGTGACAGATGACGTGGATGGCTGAGGACAGAACGGGCAGGTGGCTGTGAGTTATCCATATGGTGGGGAGCAGGGGTGGGGGGCTCTTTCTGAGCTGCCTCAAGGGGAGCTGGGCCTCTGCTGCCACTCGGACCAGCCTCAGGGGCCTGTACTGTTTCTGAAAGGGGCCTTTAAAACGCAAACTGCCCATCATCTCTCCTGTTCTGCAACAGCCTGGGTCAGCACTCCGGATTTCCCAGGCCTTCATCTCTGCCTCCACCCACCTACTTGGGAAGGAATTTGCCAGGTGCCAGGGAACACTGGCAGCCACCCCTGCTGTCTGGACTGGGCAGCTGAGTGTGCTTTCTGGGGAGGCTTTCTGGGGCCGGGGAGTCCCTTCTGCAGGTCCCTGTACCAAGGGCAGTGGGTGCACCTAGACGCTGAGTTCCCAAAGAGAAGCTCAGGACCAGACACAGGATCCCCGAGGCTCGGCTCTGTCATTCAGTGTGCATCCATTTGCTCATCGGTACAAGGGGGCTGGACTGGCTGAGAAGGTCGGACAGACCTTGAGCGCCTGTGCGTTCAGAGAGGGGGCGGGCAAGCCCCCTAGGACCCAGACTAAAGGAAAAGCAGTCAAGCAGTACGAGGCTGAGTGCTGGGACACGCCGGTACCTTGCGGTGGGGGCTGGGGGAGCTCGGCTGGAAGTCCAGGGCCAGATAATCAACGCTGCCCGTGCTCTTCTTCGGGGCGGGACTGTTGGTGCCACTGGGAATGGGAGACGCAGACACTGGATTTTGCTATCACAAAGGAGGGAAAAACCATCAGTAAGTGGAGGAAACAGACTAACACACCACCCGGGAAAACCCACACCTCTGGGCGTCTCATGTCCTCATTTAAACCTTCATAACCGTCCTGTGATGTAGGTATTCTTACTATTCTTGTTGTTTAAAATAAAGATAAAACTGTAGTTCAGAGAGGTGGCCTGACTTGGCTGGGGCTGTACGGCTGGCGAGCGGGGATGGGAACCGGCTCTGTCACCCGGCTCCCGGACCTGTGCTCGTCCCGCTGTACTGGCCGGCCGGGTCTCCCCCACTGGCTCCCTGACAGACCCCCGTGGTTGCCTGCTGGCCCTCAACAGGGTGCCCCTTTCCTTTACGCCCTGCATGTTGGAAAGCCTTCGGTGGCACCCAAGCTGCTTCTCTGAATCTCCTGGCCCCGGCCCCTCCTCCCCGGGCTCCTGCAGCCGCCCTTCGACGGAGACACTCTAGGCTCCTGTCTCCGTCCAGGCACCAAGACCAACTTGTCTAGGATTTTCCTGAAGTCTTATTTTTTTTTTTTTAAGATTTTATTTATTTACTGACAGACAGAGATATAGTGAGAGAGGGAACACAAGCAGGGGGAGTGGGAGAGGGAGAAGCAGGCTCCCCTCTGAGCAGGGAGCCCGATGTGGGGCTCGATCCCAGGACCCTGGAACCATGACCCGAGCTGAAGGCAGACGCTTAACCGACTGAGCCACCCAGGTGCCCCTTGAAGTCTTATTCTAATGAGAATGGCAACAATCCTATGTTCTGTTTCTTGGCTGCTGATTGGTTGATGCGTTCTTTCACTATTGATGCAGCAGCTACAGGTGCCGGGCAGCTACTCCCTTTCCAATGAAAATGTCAGGGAGGAAGCTTCTCGTGCTGACCCTGTTTAGATCTCTGGCCTGGCCTTTGCCACCGTACGTCATGGTACACGTGTGCCCCCTCCACTGAGGAGATAATAAATGTTTACGCTCGCATTCTTGCTTCTGCTCATGGGAACAGCACAGTGGGGAATGAAGAGTTCTTGACTTTTGAAAGATTTTAACAGGACAGAAGAAGGAAGTCAACTTTGAAGGCTGCCCTAGTCATTCTCCGTAGGCTCCCAGGGACGGTGCTGAGGCACTGGGCCCTTTAAACCTTCTGGGGCTCCCGTGGTCCCCAGGGAAAGCCCAGACTTGCCCGGACAGCGTTCAGGGTCATTCATGAGCTGGACCCAGCCCACCCTCTGCCCGGAGCCGCAGTTAACCGCTCTCCGAGTCCCCACAGCGCCGCCTCTCCACCCACGTCCCAGTCAGTCTCCCCGAGGGCAGGGCCCTGTGACCCCACGGCGCACGGGAAGGATGGCGGCAGCAATGGCGGTGCCTGCAGCGGGCCCGGGCCACCCGGGCAGGAGTCGCCCCCACGGAGCGCAGACGACTCACCATGGGGACGTAGTTCTCTTCGCTGTCCCCCGAGTCCGTGCTGGTGATGCTCTGGGTGGAGATGGGGCGGCAGTACTGGGAGGAGCCGCAGTTGAAGGTGTGGCTGTGGTGGGGAGAGGACCGTGACCTAGGGAAGCGCTCGGGCTCCTCGCCCCAGACCCCGCCCTCCATTAGCAGAGGAAGGTCTGATACAGGGAAGGCGCGATGACCCCCCCTTCACGGACGAGGAGACCAAGCCCCTCGAGGCCGCTAGGCCACCACCGGCGTGAGCATCAGGATGCAGCTCCTGACTCAGCCCTCACAGCCCCGCGCCAAGCTCCCACTTCCCCAGATGGACACTCACATGGCCCTAGACCAAGACTTGGTGACAGGTGACTTGAAGGGGAGCTCATCAATGACGGTGTTGTTTCTCAGGTCAAGTGGCGTTGGCTTTACTGGAACAGGAACAGAAAGTCAAATGATCAGCCACTGATGATAATGGCGCACGTCCACACACAGCCACATAACACACAAGTACATTCACGGAGGCTTTTGCATTCCCGCTTTTACACAGGGAAACTGAGGCTCAGCAGCTTCTATGATCTTTGCCTATGTTGCTAGGCCCTTAAGTCAGATCTTCAGATTCTGAATGATTATTTTCTTTGCAAGCATATTCTGGAGTAATCATATTTTCAGAATCCAAAATGGAGACACTGGGTCTGACAAGAGACTGCTCTCCCCAGACCTGTGGCTGTATATAAAAACAAGAGATGGTAACTGAGCTGGAGGACGTCCCTGCCACTCATGGACCAGGCTGTAGAGCCTGCAGGGGAGGAAGGCGAATACACAAAGCCCTTAAAGGCTTCACTTCAAATGCCAAGGTCTGAATTCGCCGTTGACCAGACCAAGTTGGGGGGCCGGACCCGACTTCTCCCTCTGGATTCCTGCCACTGACCCCTGGCCGGCAGCCGGAGGGAGCAGAGGGCACGGATCTAGCCTTCCTGAACGTCTGCTGCATACCAGACCCGGTGTCCTAGATGCGTTCCTCCGGAACACACCACTGTCCCCATTTCACAGCTAAGAAAACTGAGCTCAGAGAAACTGAAATGATTTACCCAAGGCCCCTCCCTAGGAAGTGCTGAATGGATTCCAACCCACACGTAGGCAGTCGGAGCGCTCACGCCTTTCTCGTCCAGCAGAGTGGATCTTGTAATAGACCGCTCTGCCAGATCCTAGGCCTCCTCCTGCGTCCTCCAAGAGCAGGTTACACTCTACAAGGCACTTTTAGGCCTATTATCTGTGCTGCTCAGCGCTCTGCAAGTATTTAGAGTGCTCAGCTGAGAAACAAGGCTCAGACACACAGAATGATTTGCTCGTACCCCCAGGCGGCAGGGCTGGCGCCGGAGCGTGTGCCGTCCTGCTGGCACCTGTGCCCCCGCCCATCCAGGCTGCTCTGGCAGCCGGTCCCTGGGCTGCTGGGCCACGGGAACAAGTTTGAACGTCTGTGTATGTGTGTGAGAGTTGGGGGTGGTTCAGGCCCCCAGAGCCTAACACTTCCTGGCAAGGAAAGTTTGGGATCCACTCGATCCCTAAATGAACGCAAATAGTTCCTGGACACCGCCCAGAGACGGGATGGGGAGAGAGGAGCCTCACCTTTCCGGTTAGGTTTGAGGTTGCGGTTGACGGGGGGTGGCTGGATCTCACTCCCTCGGCTGGGGCCTCGGTGCATAGAAAGGGCTGCTGAGGGGTAGCCAAGCGCCTCAAAGTGGTGGGGGCCTGGGCTCATGGGGATGTAGACACTCTGGGAGTTATCACTTGCCCGCTCCGTGGCCAGCAAGGTGGAGGACCCTGGATTCATGGGCACGTAGTTGTCCTCAGAATTGGAGCTCTCGGACCGGCCCACAGCGGTTTTCCCTGGCTAGGAGAGGGAGTGGAAGAAACAGGAAGGGAGTGAGAATCTGTATGCAAGGCGAGGAGAGTTATAACTGAGTTAGCTGCCCCGGGAAGCTAGTAAGGCAGGCCCTGGGGAAACCAAGCAGGAAGGCACAGTGGGAGGGGGAAAGCAACGAGGTCTGTGGGTCCCTTCTAGTTTCCACAATCCCTTGGGACCCACTGGAAATTTGTCACAATCCTCTGGTATCAAATACCCCTGGTGGCTGGGTGCACAAGGCTTTGTGGGGCCTGACCACGCGGAGGGTGGCACAAGCCACGGAGTGTACGGGTTTGGTTTAGGACCTGCCCTTCATCTCAGGTCCACACTCCCCATTTGTGGGCCGGCATCTGAAGCCCGAGCAGGGCCAGGAGCCCCGGAGAAGCCTGGGCCCTGGCCAGTGAGGTCTGGGCCAGTGTGCTCCCCCAGGCCAGCTTGCAGGGTGACCACCAGCTGCAGTTGGAGCTGCCACCAAGGTGTACGATGCAGTCATCCTGGCCCCCACTCCTGCCAGGAGTCTCCTACCCCTGCCCCGCCTGTCCACACAGACAAGGAAGCGGCCTCTGCTTTGGTTACCCAGTTTTCATCATTTCAGTGGGTGCGACGCCGGGCCCTCGTCTGCCTGGCGAGCTGTGGTCAGCCCCCTGCAGAGGGCAGCCTAGGATCCTGCACTCAGACCATACTTCTGCCACCAAGCCGGCCTCTGAGCACCGCCCCTACCCTCAGTCCCACGCTGCAGCCCCTCCTCCTCCGGGTGGGGCCTCACGGACAAGCCTGCTGCCTCAGGTTCCCCATCCCAGAGCCCGGGGCCTCTGCATTCTAGACCCGCCCTACTGACCTGGAGGGCTGGCGAGCCTTGTGGTCTAGCTCGCTAAGTACACTCACTTCTTCCACACCAGACACCTGTATCTTACTTTCTGAAAACCCAACCCAGGCATCTGGACGGAGACAAGGAACAGGCAGGGCCCTAAGAGGGAGATGCCTTCACTCTTGTGAGCTGTACTTTTTGTTCCCTGGAGTGTGACCTTAACCCACCCGGGCAGGCCTGAGGACCCCTGGCTAACCCTCACTCACCGGGAAAGAACTGACCGCATCACTCATGGACTCGGCAGCCCGGCCACTCTCTCCACCACGCTGCGGGTACTCGTAGGACTCACAGGAAGAAGCTACGAGAGAGGAAAGAAGATCCATGTGCTGACACTTCCCCAAACCCTCAGCCGCGTTGCTGGGGGTCTCACTGATACTCCAGAAGATACTACTCTCAAACCCAAGTGATAAGGTATTACTTCCATCCCATCATTCCTCAGTTCAAAAACTCCTGCTAGGCTTCTAGATCTAGCCCCAGCGTCGGCACCTCCAGAGGATCCCTCCTTAACTGCTCCTTCCCTCAGGTACGCCCCTCTCCTCTAACTCCTACGGCGCTCAACTGCTGTCCCACTCACCCCCGCCATCACGTCTATGAATACTGTATGAATAATGATACTGGACTAATTTATACATGTTGGTTTTATTTCTCCAACTAGATGTGAACTCTCTGAGGGTAGGGACATGTATTATGTACATCGGTTTCATTTCAATTCCAAAGCACAGGTGACTGATCCAATAGTTGATGGACTGAAACGGTACTGAGCCAAGACTCAGGATCCCAGGTCCAAGTCCCACCTCTGTCCCCGACTGAACTTACAACCCTGAATAAGTCTCCTAATTACTACCACGGGCCTCACGTGAAATGGAGACACTGAGGCTCTGTCCCACCACACTCTCAGGGTCACTACATGACTTAGACAAAAGGATGGAGAGGAGCAGGCTTCACAAGCTATACACGATACAAAATGAAAGGAATCAACATGACTATACTTTTTCGTCACACAGAGGAAGCTTATTCAGGATTGGAATATGCTCAGGAAATTAGTGACAATAAAATTTATACACTTCAGAGAGAAATCCAGATTTTAACCAAAGAGATTCATGCGTGGCTTAGAAAATATTTAGTAGCTCAGGGCGCCTGGGTGGCTCAGTCATTAGGTGTCTGCCTTCGGCTCAGGTTGTGATTCCAGGGTCCTGGGATCGAGCCCCGCATTGGGCTCCCTGCTCCACGGGAAGCCTGCTTCTCCCTCCCCCACTCCCTCTGCTTGTGTTCCCTCTCTCGCTGTGTCTCTCTCTGTCAAATAAATAAATAAAATCTTTAAAGAAAAATTTAGTGGCTCAAAATTTGTTTTAATAGTCTCTTAGTCCACATAGGTTTGGCTCCAGTTTGAACTGGTCCTCTAAATTTATTTTTTCTGTCTTTGATTTATATAAAAATGAATCAAATACTATGATTTGGACTTCCAAACCCATAATAAGTTGTGTTGTGGTTAACCGAGAATGTTCCAGCTCCCTGAGTAGAACAGTAACCGCTCTCAAGCAGGGTCGGCTACACTCTTGCATTGCGGGCATCCACGAATAGTCTCCAGTGCCGGAGGAGCAGCCAGCAAGGTGTTTGGGTACAAGATCCCTAAACCTGTGAGTATCAGTGACCTGGGTGGGCCTTACATCTCCTCAGCATGGATGACCAAGGACTGGTGAATTACTGAGAACTGCCAAGCTACCTCCCTCTCCCCAGGGTCACAGCCAGGGATTATACCAACCTCGGTGCAGTCGGCTGTTGTCCATGGCTGGGAGGGTGTTGCGCCTGGGGATGGTGGCCGCAGCAGAGATGGATCTGCTGCTTTCGCTGATTGGTGGTCTCTGCTGAGGGCTGCCCCATCGAGGGGTTTCTGCCTGACTTGGCTTGGGTGGCCGGGGAGGAGGCGCGATGGCCGAGTCCCCAGGAGTGGCCACTGCCATGGCATTGTGGTTCTTGTCCAGCGTGAACGTCCTAGGGATCTGGTAGGCTGAGAGCGGGGTGGCTGGAACGTCCATATTGTCCACTAGGAGGTCCCCAAACTCCCGACACAGGGTGTTGCTGGGCGTCTTGAAGGTGTATACGTCCTCGTTATCGGTCTCAGAGCCTGTGAGGCTGCCCTTAGTGTGGCCGTGGGAGGCTAGGCTCCGGGGGAGGTCGTAGGTACTGTCTCTGAATTCCGTGTTGTGCCGGCTTGGCTTGGGAAGGCTATAGAAGCCGTGGACTTGACCACTGACCCCGTTGACACAGTGTCCGTTGCCCTGGGCAAGCTTTTGTACGGCTGTGTCGCTCCTCATGAGAAATGAGGCCCTGGAGCCCTGAGAGAAGCTGGCACTCCTGGGAGAGAGAAGAAAGGAAGGGATGGGGCAGGTTAGAGGGGGCCAGGACTGCCCACCCGGGGAGGCAAGCTGGCATGTTCAAAGCCCCATTCAGCAGGTAAACCAGGCTGAGGAGGCCGGCAGGCCTGAGGTGTATCCTCGTTTACTAGCTCTGTGATTTGGCATGAGGAACTTTCTCCTTCTGAGCTTTGGTTAATGCATTTGCAAAAATGGTGATTAAAAACATATGACGAAGGTTGTTCAGACATTAGACTCCAGCAGATCTAATATACAGATGTTCAATCAATGTTAGCCTTTATCCTCGCCCTACCCCCAGATGGCTGTGATTAGCAGAGGTCGCTCTTACCCCTCACCCCTCCAAATAAACACAGCAGCTATACCACCCGCCTGTTCATTGCTTTAAGTACCACAGAGTGTACACATGTGTATACGAAAGCTGTGAGACAATGGAAAGAACCCTTAAACTGGTGTCACACACTAGCAAACAGGTCATTTTACCCGAGTCTCCGTCTTCCCACTGTAAAACAAGTCCGCTAATGGCTGTGGAAGGGATACCTTACAAAGGATGGTTCAAATGGAAGCTATCAATGTATTTTCTATCAGGTATTACGGTTTGTAGAAAGGCATTTAGGGGGGAAAGTGCTCTTTCCAGAAGACCAAAATTTTATAGGAAAAATGGTTTCCCATTTGGGAACTATATTATAGACAGAAAAAGTTTTGAGGATTACTGTTTTAAAATGTAGGTTTTTGGGAAATAAGGCAAGACTAAACAGTAAAAAAAGATCCGGGAGTGGAAGGATTTGTGTGAGCTCCACTCAGCCCCCACCCGAAGGCATGGCCTGGAGGGTCTCTGGCTCTCCGGGGTTCATCTGACTTTGAAGCTCATGAAGCCATCGGCCTAATGAACGTCATTTTCAAGCTGGATTCTGTGTTGTGTGGAGGTGGGCGGCGTGGGAAAGTGGAAGGTGAGGTTCAGAGCAAGTAGGGATCCACGTATCTCACGTTATGATTCTTCACAGGATTTCATAGAATCACTGTTCTAGAACAAACCTTTACAGTAGAGATTCTTAGCCTTCTGGAAGCTATAAGCTTCTTCAAGAATCTTATTCAAGGTTCTTGGCACTTCTGACCGGCATGAGGCAAATCTCGTATACATACAAATTTGCATGATATAGCTGGGGCGGGTGAGGCACTCATAAGCCCTCTCCTCTCAGGAGGCCAATCCGCTGGAATTTTTGCCTCATACAAGCATATATGTAGCTCCTGAGGAGCTTGTTATTTATGGATGTGGCCACCAGATGGTGATAGAAAATAGGGCCCAGTAGTTTAGAAAGAGGAAGGGAAACAGGTGTCTAGGCCAGACTCTCTTGTAAACTGTCATCCTTGACCACTGGGGAGTTTCATTTCACTCCCCAAACCTTCAGTGGCCCTTCTCTTCTAGGCCTCCGTGTTCTTTCTCCTTTTCTTTTCCATTTCACACACATAACCAAGCCAAGCACCATGGACCTAGATCACTGAACCTCTAGCCTTTTGATAATGGAGTGAGTGGAACAAAGGCTGGGGGGAGCCAATGGTAGATATAAGGTTGGATGTCCCCGCTGAGATCTGTTCATTTAACAAACGTTTAGTGATGTCCTATTTTCCACTGGGGCCGGGCATAGTGGATACACAGATGCCTTCTGCCCTGGGGGACATAGTGGTGGAGACGGTGACATGCATACCAATCATCATCAGCTCTTGACAGATTTATACTGACCCTCCCTGGTGGTGGTGGTACAGAATGTCAGGGGAAGCTTCTTCAAAGATCTTACCGTTCAGTGAGTCTTGATATTGGCCAGGCAAAAGGCAAGAGAGGGAAAAACGTGTTCTAGTTAGAGGCACAAAGAAGTAGAACACAGCCTAGCAAGGGAAAGGAACTGCAAGCTGCTCAGGCTGCAGCAAGCATGTTAGGAGGCAGGGCTGAGAGGTGACAGTGCAGGGGCCAGGCTGGAGTTGCTGGGAACAGGGGAGCCCCTGTAGGGTTTTAAGGCGGGGTGGGGAGAACATCACAGGTGTCCTGCAGTAACCTTAAATACTGTTCCATGTTTCACATAATTTTATTCAAACCTTAACCTGATTCAGGAATGAATTCATCATCTTCTTCCTGACTCTCCTATCTTGGGAATGCACCCGTCACTGAAGCCAGAAACCCAGGAGTTACCCACATTGTAATTTTTCACTCAAGAACCCTATCAGGTCCTATTGAATCCACCCCAGTTCAGGTCCTCCTGGTTTTCCTTCCGCATAAATGAAAGGGCTGGTAGCTAGCCTCCCTACCATCCGCCAGATCCCCTTGACGTCCTCCAGACATTTACTTTCCTGACTTGCCAGCTTATGCATATCCAACACTGTGCCACTGCCTATAGGACTAAGCTGTATTCTGGCTCCAATTCACCTCTCCAGTCTCTTCTCCCTGTTTCCCTCCCCACTCTTGGATCCACTCAGCCAAACTTCCCTTGTTCCCAGTGGGCCCTGTGCAGTTACGCCTCTGGGCTCGGTTGCGTTGTTCACGCCGTCTGAAAGGCTTCCTACTGCGACCTGGCAAAGCTCCTGCTCCCATTTATCCTTCTAACTCTGCACAAATGGCACATTTGTAAAAAAGATTTTATCTGGGGCGCCTGGGTGGCTCAGTCGGTTAAACATCTTCAGTTCAGGTCATGATACCAGGGGCCTGGGATCGAGCCCCTTGTTGGGTTCCCTGCTCCGCAGGAAGCCTGCTTCTCCCTCTCCCACTTGTGTTCCCTCTCTCGCTGTCTCTCTTTTTCTGTGTGTCAAATAAATAAAACCTTTAAAATAAAAAAAAAGATATTTATTTGAGAGAGGGGGGCAGGAAGGCAAGAGGGAGAAACAGGCTCCTGGCTGAGCAGAGAGCCCAATGCGGGGCTCGATCCCAGGACTCTGGGATCATGACCTGAGCTGAAGGCAGACACTTAACGACTGAGCCACCCAGGTGTCCTGGCGCATATTTTAAAGCTGTTCCTTTCCATCCTCTACCTCCAAGCATAAGCAATCACTGCTCAACCCTAACCTTGGAGCAGGTAGCAAGCGCTATCTGCGTTAGGTACCACCGGTACTGGTCTCCTCCACCAGACTGCGATTTCCAACTGGACGAGCAGGCACGTGGGCTGACAGGGGCCTCCTGAAAGGAACACGGTACTGCGCCGGGCGCATCACATGCGAGGCCGTTCTGAACCCCCTTGCCTACCCCATGAGAAGAACCGCCCTGGCCTGTGCAGGGAGCTGCAGGTGGCAGAGGCAAGGCTGAGAGAGGCACCCCTTCGGGCCCGCAGCCCTCACCCCCTCCCCCCTACTGTGGCTGCGGCTGGGTGGCCCACCGCCACAGCTCTGCTCACGGCTTAACACCGCCCAAAAGCGCTCCTTTATCTTTCAGCAGTGCTCTCCTAGCTTTCCTCAGCACTTAATTTTGCAACAGTTCTTTGGCATTTTTCCATATAGTTTCACGTACCACACGACACCATGATTTCACTGTTTTCCACCCTGCTCCTAGTACCTTCATGAAGAGCCCAGTCTCATTTTTAATAGGTATGTTCCCATTTAAAGAAAGCGAATGCACACATGGTCCTAAGTGAATTAACCACCACTTAGTTCTGTCACTGGCGATCTTAAGAGGTCATGTGGCCCATCCTTCTGCATTTCACCCTTCTCACAGGGATCCTTCCGATGAGGGAAGAAAACGCAGAAAATGCTGTCTCACAATCTCTAAGAGGTGAGGTGATCTTTGCATCTCAAACCCTTCTGGCGGCAAGTGTGAGCCAGCCTTCTCATTGTGGTTACAGAGCAAAGTTATAGAGACGAAATAAATGAAACAAAAAGTTGTATATTCTCAGCCTTTGGTCAATCAAAGCACCGGGTGAATGAGTCAGAGGTCTTAGTTAGAAGTGATTAATCAAAGGCAAGTTCTCCATTGCCATTTCTCATTTTACTTTTCACCTGCCGTCTTTCTGCAGAATACTGCTGTAGGGTCAGTGATGCATTCATCTGGAATCCCATCACTTGAAATTTCAGCTACCTGCCCCCGCCGCCCCTTGCCCAGAAGCATGGCTTTCTGAGGCATGTGACTCACCACACACACTGTATCACCTGCTACAGGTTTAACAGCCTCCTGGAAATAGGGAGAGAGAGGTCTAGAATCTGAAATGAGGCCCTAAAGGCTGGAGGGCAAAACTAAATCCAGGCAAGACAAAAAGGACTCTGCTTGTCTTGATGGGGTCAGTTCAAATACTCCCTCCTTGCTGATAGTTACTACTTTGAGGAGTTACTTTTGCTCAGTGGAAAAGCTAGATTTTGAGAACTGAAGTCATTTTAGCTGGAACACATATCTGGTACTTGAAGGAAGAATAGTGGCTAAAACTGCAGTAAAAGATAAGTAATTCACATATTTTATCTCTAAGGTGCTTAATTTATTGTACAGTATGTCAGGTTCCCCCACAAATGAAAAAAGGAATAAATAAAGGCTGGTTATGATTAGCCTCAGTAGATACTCTTTCACTATAGTAATCCAGACATATTTATGTCTATGCTAGGCAGAGATGAATGAGCTGCTGCTCTCTCCCAAATCCCCCCAGAAGGAACCCTTTGAGGGGTGCCTGGCTGACTCAGTCGGTGGAGCATGAGACTCTTGATCTTGGGGTTGTGAGTTCGAGTCCCACATGCTGGGTGTGGAGATTACTTAAAAATACAATTAAAAAAATAAAGATGCGACCCTATGAAATTATTTTGGAGGTTAAATGAGGTAACTAATGTGAGAGTGCTTTGTAAACTATAAAGCATTATTTCTTTTTTCCAGAGCACCTAGTATGTAATGTGGCTGTCAGAAGCAGGATAGCAGTATATCTGTCCATGTTTGGCACTGTCAGTGTTTTTTCTTTACCCATTCCTGTGGACATGAACCAAAACTGCTTAGAGGTTTTCACATTTCCCTGGTGATTCTGCATCTTT